CACGAGTAGTAACCTTTAGGAGGAGGGCCGAGTGGGGTGCAGATGAGCCTCAAAACCTGTGGGGGAACAAACCCTTCCTGAGAGAGGCAGGCGTGCCTCGCTCTCAGAGCCTCGGTTCCTAGGAGGCGCCTTCCCGCCAGCATGCCACTTTTTCTTCAGGACGAAGGCTGTTCTTGTCAGCTCTCCCCCCCCCCCCCTCCCAGACTCTTCCCTGCCTTTGGAGCATTTGGCTCTATTTTTACCCAGAGATGGGATGATTCTCATCTTTGAAAATAGCTGCCATGGAGAGCACTGTTGTGGCTGCTGCTTTGGCCTGCCAGGCGGCCGCCTTCATCCTTCTCCAGGAGACAGATGTGGAGGGGTGCCCCCTGCCTGCCTTGCCCGGGACCTGTGACAGGAAAGCTATTCTTTTGCGGGATTAACTGGGGATAATGGAGATAGATATTGGCCATCTCTCTGAGGACCTTAAGGAAACTTAGGAGGGCAAGAATAAAGGCTGAGAGTCTGTGCAGGAGGGAAGAGGGGAGGCAGGAAAACACAGGTAAGCCTTTGAGGCCCTGTGAGCTTCTGTGGTGGTTTGAAAGAAAATGGCCCCCATAGGCTCAAAGGGAGTGGCACTATTAGGAGGTGTGGCCTTGTTGGAGGAAGTGCGTCACTGAGGGTGGGCTTTGAGGTCTCAGATGCTCAAGCAGGGCCAGTGCATCTCAGTCTCTTCCTGCTGCCTGCAGATGCAGATGTAGGACTCTCAGCTCCTTCTCCAGCACCATGTCTGCCTGCATGCCACCATGCTTCCCACAGTGATGATAATGGACTGAACCTCTGAACTGTAGGCCAGCCACAATTAAATGTTTTCCTTTTTAGGTGTGGCCATAGTCATGGTGTCTCTTCACAGCAATAGAAACCCTAAGACAGCTTTCTTCCCCCTTTTTGGGTTAAGCTAACTGGAAGTGGATGGGTTTTGGTTATGACTGGGACTGTGAGAGCCCAATTCCTCTCCTGAGATCTAAGTTGAATCCAGCTGCAGGTGCTTAAGATTCCTACCCCGAGATGCCCAAACTCAGGTCAGCTCTGTGACCCTGCTCCTAATAGTCATCTGGAAAGGGGTGTGGATGTACTTGGCTTGAAGCAGAGAACATAAGTGGCAAAATGTAGGAAGCCATGGGGATGTCCATCTGTTTTCTCCAAGTGTGTCTAGGGCAGGTCTGGAGACTCCTGGATGAGAAGATCCAGCCTCACCAGGTTAGATGCTCTGACCTCCATATGATGCTGGCTTTACAGTTTGTGGGATGCGAGTTACATGGCCACAGAGATTTTCATTGGATTTCAGAGGGAAACCTGAGAGCATGCAGCAGGTTGCAGTCCCCTGGGGGGATTCCCTGAGAGGATGATGTGGGAATCTGTGAGAGCAAAGGGAGTTCCAGATGCCAGGATTGTGGAACATCTGCCAAGAAAAACCACAGACTACAAGTGGAGCCAGACACGTAGGATCCAAATGGTGAAGCTGTAAGAGTTGGAGTTACCCGTGTGCCCTGAAGGCTCGACACAGTTACAGGGCATAGTCTTTGCGCCTTATGAGTTTGTGTTGCTTTGGTCTGGGACTTCCTTGGTATTCTAATCTCCATTTTGGAGTGGGAATGTTTATACTGTTTATCTTTTTTTTTTTTTAAATTATCTCTTACATTATATCTTTGTAGATAGTTTTCTTGTTCTGGAACTGCTTCCAAATTACTACACAGAGACTTATATTAATTGTAAATGCTCCGTCAATAGCTCAGGTTTATTACTAACTAGCTCTTATATTTTAAATTAACCCATATTCCTTATTTATGCTCTGCAACATGGTGGTACCTTTATTAGCATGGCATGTTCATCTCCCGCTTCCTCCGCGTCTGGCTGGTGACTCCTCTGACTCCGCCCTTCTCCTTCCCAGCATTCTCAGTTTGGCTCTCCTGCCTAACTCTATCCTGCTCAGCTATTGGCCAGTCATCTTCTTTATTAAACCAACCACAGCAACCGATCTTCACAGTGTACAGAAGGATTATTCCACAGCACGTCCTGACTGCAGTTTCCCATCTCTTCCCTCCCCCAGTCTGTCTCCCCCATTCCTGCCCCCCTTTCCCTCAGATCCCCCTGCATCTCCCCCAGGAAAGAGCAGGCCTCCCTGTTGTTTTTTTTTCTCTTTGTTCTTTTATTTGGGGTGGGGGCTGCCACCCAGCTCCCAAATAAATCACACATGGAGGCTTAGTCTTAATTATGAATGCCCAGCCTTAGCTTGGCTTGTTTCTTGCCATCCTTTCTTTACTTGAATTATCCCCATCTACCTTTTGCCTCTGAGCTTTTACTCTTCTCTATTTCTGTATACCTTTTCTTTCCTTCTTACTCCATTGCTGGCTGTGTAGCCGGGTGGCTACTTCCTTCTCCTCCCAGATTTCTCCTTCTATTTATTCTCTCTGCCTGCCAGCCCTGCCTATCCTTCCTATTGGCCGTTCAGTTCTTTATTAGACCATCAGGTGTTTTAGGCAGGCACAGTAACACAGCTTCAAAGAGTTAAACAAATGTGACATAAAAAAAGTAACACACCTTAAAATATTCTTACAACACCTCCCAGGGATATCAATCACCCAAACACAGCATAACAAGCCATAATAAGGTCAAGTACATACCATTACATTAAGGCTGGATGAGGCAACCCAGTAAGGTGCTGTGGGTATTTGTACACTATGAAGGGGTATTGCTAGGATTGGTATAATAAAAAGCTGAATGGCCAATAGCTAGGCAGGAGAAATAAGTATGACTTTTGGGCAGAGAGAGGAAGAGAATAATCGAGGCACCCAGGGATACTATGGAGATGCAGAAAGAGTTGGACACACAGAATGGGAGAGAGGTAAAAGCCATGTGGTGGAAAGTAGATAAATAAAAATTATGGGTTAATTTAAGTTATAAGAGCTAGTAGGACAAGCCTAAGCTAAGGCTGAGCTTTTATAGTTAATAAGTCATCTTCATGTTGTTGTTTGTGGACTGGCAGTCCCAAAGAAAAGGCTTGCTACATTTGGTGTGGTGCATGTACATAGAGCCCACTGCTCATGGTATACAGAGGTGCAGCACAGCTCATTTAAGAGGCCCTGCTATGAACAGCCAACGCACTACTCTGCAGTGGGAGACTAGACAGAAACACCTGTCGCAGCATGGACACAGCAGCTTCCCAGAGTTAGCATGGTTAGGCAGACCTAAAGTGGGCATAGCCAGCCATCAGCACCATAAGCCGAAGCCATATGGCAGAGATCCTAGCTGCCACCAAACAAGTTAAGATCTGTCTCGTGCCATCAGAGAACGCTGCAGGTGCTTAGTAAATCCAAGTCCAGGCACAAACATCCTCTAAAAATGTGCTTAGATGCTGAAGAAAGAAAAGAAAATGGGTATAGACAGTCATAGAAAAAAATAGTTTAAAAATAATAAAGTCTTTAAAGAAAGAATAAAGTAATATAAAAAGAATAAGACATGTAAGGATGGAAAATACACAGGGTATCTGTTGACTTTGAATTTTTTAAATGCTAATGTACAAAAACAATAGCTATTGAGAGACATTGGATTATGGAAACTACTAAATTAAGCTAACCTATATATTTTAAGAGTGTCTTAACTTTAAAATGGAAGTCAGAAAATATGTTGCATTGGGGGAGAGGTTATGCCTTTGTTTCCACAGAAAACAAAAAGTTATGATTCTCTTCAAAATTAATGAAAATCAGATTTGATTGGAGGAGACCTTCTGAAAATCTTGGCTACAGACATGAAGAAAGAAACCAAGAAAGGCTACAGGGCAGGTAATGTATAAGCTTATCCCTCTATTATGGGAACAGCTCTGAGACTGGATGAGACATGATAAATCTTGTTGACCCCAGAGTCCTCATGACTTATTATTACATGCCATCCTTGCATATGGGCATGGATAGAGGTCTGATTATACAGTCCAAACAAACATAAAGTTAACAGACACCTTTTACCTGCTCAAATATAAAACAAAGAATTATCTTTAACTGACTTGTGCACACTGCACATTCCATACTGTGTTAATGCAGATATATATGTTACCTTTAAAAGTTTATGTGTTTTCAGAAATATTCTCAAAATTTGTTTCCTCAAAATTCTTCACCTGGAACAACTTCAAAGCTGCTACAAGAGAAGGTCCAGCCTCACAGACTATCCAGCTAAGACTTCAGATAAGACTTCTATACTTCCCTATCACACAGAGACCAAACAAAAAATAAAACAGCTAGCTCTCCTAGAACTTAACCATGATCCCAATTTTCTCAGGATCCCCTACAAATGCCATCACCCCCACACAACAGGAAGCAATGTAGAGAACATGACACCCACATTCCCAAAATGTGGGGTGGGTGGTTTCTAGTAATTTGGTGGGATATGGATGTTTGTCATTGTTTAGGGGATTGGTTACAAGTTGTTATTGGCTGTGGTCAGGAAAAAAACTGAACAAAGGAGATTAGATTCAGGGATCTCTTTCTGAAGGAAAAAAGGGGGATATAGTACAGAAATGATAGGATAAAAGGGTAGATTGTTGAATCTACTTTTAAACTAAAAAAGCAACTACTAATCTTATAATTTACATTGGTTTGGATTTTTGTATATTGACACAAATTTAAGGTTGTCTTTGTTACACTGTGTATATGTTTCTACTCTTGTTTAAGATATTATACCTATGCACCTCATTTAACAAAGTAATGTAAATTTCTAGTCTTTGAAAGTTATTATAACAAACTATTTAGGATAATAAAGAAATGTGAGTTAGTAGTTAGTCACCTATAACTATCAAACTTGTAGTCATGTTAGGTATGTTTTCAAGGTCAAACAGATATTTTTGGTAGACAGATGGTCTTCAAACACTTCAGAGACCTACAGAATATGGCATTTAAGATGTTTTAATAACATAAGGCTTTTCATGACATTGAGACATGTCTGCTCCTGGCAGCACAATCTACTTCAAATAAGATGATGAGCATTGAAGAACCTCAATATGGAATTTGCTTTCTTTGTGGCAAAAGCCACTGTGCAAGAAACTGCCTTTGCCTCAACTGCTGACAGTGTGCTGTCCAAAGTAGACAAGCAGGTCACAAAAGAAGACAACTAGCAAACTTTGCCCAAACAAGTAGGGCAGTCCTTCAAAATCCTGCTTCACAGAAAAGTCTGTCAGTTATTCTAGGCCTGCGGGCCGAAGATAGATGCCCCCATGTTGCAGAGTACCCTTGAGCGACTGTCCAGGCAGCCCACCATCTCTGTCATTTCTACAGTTTTGGAAGTTGTCTGCTCTGCACTTCCTGTTTACTCAGGTAATATTATTCCTTCTTGGGTCTCTGATGGGGTTAAAGATTAGATAGTTATAGTTACAGTTTTCCTTTGTTATGGTAAAAAAAATAAATCAGGTTCAAAACTTTGGAGTCAACAAGATAGGATAGATAATGGAGTATTTTCTTTGAATTTGCCAAATATTAATGGACTGGACACTGTGAATATAATTCTTACTTGATAATTGTTCTTATTGTATATAGTTTTTATTTTAAATATATTTTAAACAAAAAGAGAAAAATGTTTTGAGATATTTGTACACTGTAAAGAGGTATTGCTGTGAATGGTATAATAAAAAGCTACACAGCCAATAGCTAGGCAGGTAGAAATAGGCAGGACTTCTGGGCAGAGAGAGGAAGATAATAATCGACACGCACAGGGATGCTATGGAGATGCAGAAAGAGTTGGACACAGAATAGGAGAGAGGTAAAAGCCACGTGGTAGAAAGTAGGTTAATAAAAACAATATGACTTAATTTAAGTTATAAGAGCTAGTGGGACAAGCCTAAGCTAAGGCTGAACTTTCATAATTAATAAGTCATCTTCATGTTGTTATTTGGGGCTGGCAGTCCCGACGAAAAAGCTTGCTACAGAAAAGGGTTCCTCAAGTACACAAGAGTCAGAGACCACCCCCTCCATTCCCACTAAGAACGCCAAGCTACTCAGCCATGACATATATGCAGAGGACTAGGTCAGACCCCCACAGGCTCCCTGATCTCTGTGAGTGCTCATGAGTCCCGGTCAGTTGATTCTGTGGACCATGTTCTAGTGGTGCCCCAACTCCTCTGGTTCCTGCGATCCTCCCTCCCCCTCCTCCGCAGGACTCCCTGAGCTCTGCCCAATGTTTGACTGTGAGACTTTGCATTTGCACTTTGTATCAGTTGCTGGAAGAAGTCTCTCTGATGACTTAGGCTCTAGTCCCAGAACACTCTGCAGGCAGGACAAATTGTAGGTTGAAGGTTTTGTGGCTGGGTTGGTGTCCCAAGCCCTCCACTTGAGGTCTTACCTGGTTACAGAAGGCTGGTTCAGGCTCCATGTCCCCCATTACTAGGAGTCTTTGTTAGGGTTACTCTCATGGGTTCCATTGAGTTTCCACTGCAGTAGGTTTCCACCTCACCCCTGACTTGCCTCCCCCAATCCCAGTCATCTCTCCCAGTATTCACCCACCCTGATCCATCCTATTCTTAACCCCACCCTTGAAATCTATTCTACCACATTTTCTTTATCCATCCTTTGGTTGAGGGACATCTAGGTTGCTTCCAATTTCTGGTTATTATGAATAAAGCTGCTATGAACATAGTTGAGTAAGTGTCCTTGAGGTAGGATGGAGTGTCCTTTGGGTCTATTCCCAGGAGTGGTATAGCTGGGTCTTGAGGTAAAATGATACCAATTTTCTGATAAACTGCCAAGCTGATTTCTAAAATGGCTGTGCAAGTTTGCACTCCCACCACCAATGGAGAAGTGTTCCCCTTGCTCCACATCCTTGCCAGCATGAACTGCCACTTGTGTTTTGGATCTTAGCCATTCTGATAGGTGTAAGATAGAATCTCAAAGTTGTTTTGTACAGTGTTTATCTTGAAAGTATGTTAAGTGGCCTTTGATTTCTACAGAAGTTCGGGTAAGAGTCTGCTTTGAGTCTCAGAGGTCACTTTGATTTTGGACTTTTGAACAATGCTGGGACTTTTAAAACTATGGAAAGTGAATGACTTTTTCAGTGTGAAACAGATATGGGCTTTGGGGTGTCCTGGGGCAGAACATTATAGTTCAAGGAGATGTATTTGCTTGTCAAGTTGACAAGGAGTGGATTTTGGATGGTTAATCTCCATTACCAAATCAATTGGGGTGAGAAGGGCCTTGGAGGTTAATAAAGCAGATGTGCTGGGTGTGTCTATGAGGGCGTTTCCAGAGATTACTTACAGAGTGGGGCCTGGATGTGGACGGTGCCATTTTGTGGGTTGGGATCACAGACAAACTAAAAGGGAAAAATAGAAAACTAGCTAATAGGGCAGGAGAGATGGCTCAGTGGTTAAGGCTCATTGTTCCTACGGAGGATCTGGGTTCAAGTCCCAGCACCCACACACCAGATCACAACTGCCTATAACTCTAGTTCCAAGAGATCTGATGCTGCCTTCTGGCCCCTGTGGGCATCTGCACACAGAAACTCATGCAGTACACACACATACATGTAAATAAAAATAAATATTAGAGATGGAGAGACTCACCAAGACAGCATGCCCCTTTGGGTCTCGGCTGCCATTCTCTCCCTTACATCGTTTCTGTTACATATTTTGTCAGAACAATAAAAAACTAACAAGTTATATCTTAGTGAATTGTGGGAGTCTGTCAGACTCCATCTCCCATCTTTTGAAGGGTTCTTGAGGGGAGGAGAGAGAAATGAGGAAGTATTAGATAGAAATATAGAAGGAGACGACGAGAAAGACAGACACAGGATAGCTTTGGACGGGCCAATACCCAGTTGCCTCGAGATTTATTCCAAAGGGCTTTTTATACACTAGTAAGAGGAGAGGCAAGAGACCTCACCCTTTCAAGATCAAAGCACAATGTACAGCCAAGTGTAGACCCTTCAAACACCTGGTAACCACACCCATGGACAAATCATCCATTATGCCAGCTCCGATTCTCTGACTCTGAGTAAGGTCTTACTAGGAAGCCTCTGTGGGCCTCCGCAGTGACTTCGTATTAAAATAAAATTCCATTGAACCTAAAGAAATAAAATGTACATGGGTCCCAATTCCAAGTCCCAATTCCATTCTTAATTCCAAGAGTTAAGGGTATCACAGTGATTAAGTCAGATGGTTTCTCTTATACCAGGATGCTCCGATGGGCTCCTGGATGTCAGAAATATTGCTCCCAGGATGGGATGAACTTTCCCTGACCTTCCTAGGCCCAAGCTCTCTCTGATTCTAAAACTGCAGCGTTCTGGTCCCGTGGCATCATGAACCCTCTGCGTGCTCGTTAGATGGTTGTTTGGAGCCAGGGGTGCTGTTTGGGGTGGAAGACAGTAGTTTACCGGCATAGCAGCTTCCTGTTCCAACCGTTTAGTGTTCTCAAGGTGTTTTTCATAATATTGCGTAACAACTCGATAGACTGATTTTAATTTGAGTTTAGTTTGTTCTCCCCCGGGTTTCATGTGAAAGTGGGTAGGAAGTTCCACAAGGGCAGAGAAGTAGTCTCTTGCTAGATCAGTCCATAATCAGCTGAGTTGGCGGCTGCAGAATGAACAAAGAGTATTATTGACTGAAGAAAGGTGTGAGTTGAATAGATGATGGGTTAAAACTCCCACAGTGTTTCACAAGACGTTTCACTTAACAACACAGACTGATTTAATTTGAATCTAGTATTTGTTCTTGCTTTTTCTTGAGAAAGTAAATGAAAAGTCCCACAAGGGTGGGGATGCCACCTCTTGAGGTTGGCTCCACCTGTACCTTGTCAGTTATGAGTGATCCAGGGTGATCACCTGTACTTTGTCAGTTATGAGTAGTGATCCAGGGTGATCATCTGCACCTTGTCAGTTATGAGTGATCCAAGGTGATCATCTGTACCTTGTCAGTTATGGGAGATCCAGGGTGATCATCTGTACCTTGTCAGTTATG